TAAATATAACTGTAGATTTGGCAAGAAATTTACTTATATTTCTGCTGTTAATTGTCATACAGGCTTCTCAAAGGTAGCAACCCATTAATAGTCAGTACATGTGCACAAATGTACAAGATATGTAGGTTCAAGTATATTTTAATGCTTTTTGAGAAGGCTTCTATCATAGCATTTATCATCCCTTTTATAATATATAAAAAAAACTTTTATTTTTTGCTTTCCAAGACACAGAAATTGCAGAAAAAGGCTGTTCTGTCCAACACTTTCAAAAAGAATGGGTACACTTCATATGAGTACTTAGACAAGGTTTAAGAAAATCGTTTCTTTATACTTTCCCTCCAACAGACTGCTGGTTCAAAGTGATCAAATGAGATGGGCGAATAAGGCTTGCAAAATGCCTATAGCTTCAAATGTATAAAAGTCATTCAATTTATGAATCTGGTATTTAGAGTAAAGTTCTAATTATTGAAGAGCGCTCGCTCTGATCGGAAGGCCGAGACTGACCTAAGTCGATAAAAAAATAGGTAACAACTGTTCCAGCGCCATGCACGTTGAAGTGAAAGATGTGAGTCTTCCGGATGAGACCTTAAAAACCAAGGGCCCGTGTCACGGCAGGCGTTGGCACGATAAAGATTCCTCACTGCTCAATGGACCTGAGTTCGAATAAAGGTCTAAATTTGAAGCCCTTTATCGGTATATGGTGACATCTCTATGCGAGTGAAAAGTTCTCGTACGGGATGTTAAATAACATACTATCAATCATTCAATCTTATTGAAAGGTATAAAATTATTACCCAGACAAAACTTTAATGCAGAAAATTATCTCAAAATCATATCATTCTTTGTTTTAAAAAAGTGTATTCTTCAAGTTCGAACCCAATTAGCAATTAAAATCCTTAGCATTAATTTTTCTTTTGGGACTACTTCACTTACCACTTCGCTATACAGGTCAAAAATCGGCATGAAAATCATGTTTGTGATATGACCCTTGAGTTGATAGACTGACCTCTTTGGTGTGTGAATGCTATTACACAAACGAATATTTTCAACCTTTGTTATATATTTCCAAATTGTGAAATTTTACATAAAGTATATGTTAATATGTTCAGTAAAATATCAAAGAAAATGTTGTCATAATTGAACATGAGATTTAATTTTTCACTTTAATTCTTATTTGTCGCACAAGAAGCATTTTGATCGCCTTGTTCCCCATCTTCTTTCAATGCAAATGTTCATGAAAGTGAATGTATGTAAAGTACTCTCTTATTTGCTGATATGTGTACTTTTTTTTTTTTTGAAAAAAAAAACTTTGTTTAATTTCTTATAAAATTGTCCATTAAAGAATTAGTATCAATCTTTATTAAGTCTTCTTAAATGTTCCATAGACAATAGAAAGATGCACCTGTCTGCCTTTTTTTTTTTTACTAGTGTGCCTCTTTCTTCTCGCATTCTTTTTCGTTATCACACAGAGATCTGAGCATGTATTCCTTAATTTGAGTATCTCTGTATTCAACGTTCTTGGATGACTGACGTTTTTTTCCACATGAACTTTTTGGTGTTTTCTTCTGTGTTTCGGGATCTGTTTCCAGTGTCTTTGTTATGGTGTAACCTTTGACCTTACACCTTTTGGAATTCTGTTAAATTATCTCTAGGAAATCTCTTGTATAATGAAAATGAACACAATGGAATAGTTGGCTTTTATCTGTTTATTTCCATACAGTTGGATGTCGGGTTACTAGATCACTAAATCCGATAATTCGATCGGAGTTGGTTCTAATTTGTAATCAATTTGGTGTAAATAGGTAAAAGCTCGCACCTGTTTACTCCAAGTTTACAAGTGTCACGTCATATCTTACATAGCGAACCCTGTATATGTGTCTTCAGCTCGAGACGAGATGCAAAAAATACATGATTTTTTTCTGATAAACACGCAATGTGTATAATGTTAAATGAATTGGCTGATAAGGAAAACTCTTTCAATTGTCATATCGTTCTCTCAGCTAACGATAGGGTTATTCAAGGCATGTAAATAAAACCTTTTGATTTGATATCATGTTTTAACGAATTTATCTTTTCTTTTTTTGACAGTAACCAAAAGGTAAGTAATTTTGTGATATAGGATATGTTATCAAAGAAATTATGTTCGATTCAGTGTACAGCTGGAGACTATCGTTTTTATATATACTTGAGGATAGAAACACTCTATTGTGTTGTAAGAGATGAGTGGGTCCAATTAGTAAGCCGAGTTGTTTGAAACATTATCTTGCGCAAACTGACTTGTCATTTATTGCATGTAGTTGCATTTTTCTCTCATCGACTTTATAATTTTGATACTGTTTATTAAATGTACCGTGTGTCATTTCTGTAATACCTTACTGATTCAGACAAGAACAATATTCCCTAACTGCCTCACCAACACAATTATTTTTTTTTTTTAAATAAAGAGCAGATTAATGATTTATTGTTATTTAAGATTTATTAGGAATCAAACATATTGCATTGAGATTGGTGTTTTTTTTTTCTTTGATTTTATGCATAGTGTATTAGATCTTAAATCCATAAAGTCATTGGATGAGTATTATGTAATCGTTTACTTAATCAATGAAATATCCTCATTTCATTTCAGTAACATTTTATCCTAATTTCATGCAATAATTTTCGATCGACTTACATTAAGTCCAGCTTCTGTGAAAGTTATGCAGTAATTAGCTTCAATTGCAGCAATGTGTTGGACTTTAATTTTATGGTATTTCCGTTCGTAAGAGAGATATTGTATTTAAATAACCTTAAAAAATGTCGAGTTATATTGTCCCAGTATTGAACTTGTGGTTGACTAACCGTGAAAAATGCTCCGCTTTTATTCTTGTACATGATTTCTATTTCTCGCTGCAGAATTTTAAAGCATCAAATGAGGTCCCCACAATTCTGCTATGAGTTAGTGAAGATTTTAATCAATAGGGACAGGCCAGCCGTAGAGGAGAAACAATATCCCCGCTGAAATGACCTTCTTTAAAACGGAAGCAGCTTTTTAAATGCATTAGTAGTCAAAAGAACTGTTCTTTAACAGCGCTGGGACATACTCATTATTACGTCGTAGGAAACTCGGGCGGATGTTGCTTCAGAACATGATCAAGGGTTGGAGAGTCGGCGGTGCGAGCACTGACATTATACGCTGTCCATTGAAACTTGTATTTCTACAGGACATACATATCTATTCCCATAAAAGCAAAAAGGTTAAAATGCCAATATACAGAATTTATGAAATTCTCTGGAAATTCTCTGGAATGTAAAAGATGATGGTAACAACCAGTGATCAATTATAAATCCAGTAAACAAAACGAATCGTGATCAGGGCAAAAACACAGACCCCAGGAAAACACCAGAGGTGGGATCAAGTGAAATGAAACGATTTGAAAAATAAGAGTGTAGAAATTATTTTCAGCACAATTCAAAGATATTTAAAAAAAATATATTACCTTGATACATTGAAAGTGTTCTTTTTGCTTATCTTTGTGGTTTAATATACATGTACATGAACTTAGTACAGACATCTGTATTTCCTTTACCTATCTAAAATACTCAAAATTAAATAATGCTCCTGCAAAATCAGAATAAAGCAACATATCACTTTATTTTCTTTAACTCGAAAAAAAATTCTGTCAAATAAAGGCAGGTAGTTGTAGGATCAATTTACATAAACACTTTACATACAAGAAATTATAGATTCAAATTATTTTTGTTTTAAGTTCTCACATTATATAATAGATTTGCTGTAGAAAGCAAAGTCTTCTAAGTGCACGCATGCTCAATGTTTGTTATCTGCTGAAAGATTCAAGCTCCGCAGAGGATGAAATTAACCATTCTTTCTGATGACAAATAAACACGACTTATTAACAGAATTACATTTTCTTATCAAATAAAGAATCTTGTTTCATTCACGAAAATATATATTTTTGTTGCTTGTCTAGCTACTCTGCAGACGACTTGAAGATGACAGCAGACGACAACAGGAGGTAGTGAGAATCTGTTAGACGTCACAGCCCGCACGTGCTCTGGTGGACAGGGTCAAAGGGCCAGTTCCAGTTGATAAAATATACCATGACATGCCTATTTATGACATCAACAAGCCAATTATAAAGTTACACATATTACTTTTAAACATGTTAAATCGGGGGAAAACTATGTTCAGTACCAATAGCCACTGCAAAAGAAATATAAATAATAGACGGGCATATAATAAAAACTCATCAATATTTAATTAGTAGAGAACTTCCGCTCGTCTACGTTAGATTTATTTACGCGTAAATAGCTTAGTAGTAAAATGCTTTGATAAAAATTCTCGTCTTCATGTCTTTATACAAGTTTTTGGTATTTTGTATGATATACATGTAGTCCCCAGTGAACAACAAATATCATAGTACAATCTAAAGTCTGAAGGTATAGAAGGACACGGATAAAAACGGAATACCATGTGTGATGCGTATTAAATAATTCAAAACTAACATGTATTACTTTCCGTGATAAAACCATAGTGACAGTTTATCCAGTGTACCACTGGCAACGACCCGCTTCCTGCCACATGTACCCCCGAACTGGATATCTCAATCCCCTGCCAAATCAAGCGGACTTCGAACGCTATAGCCCAATTCATCCTTCATGTCTGCTAATCACCAGCACCGGAGCTCCCTAGAACGACATTGTTCAAAGTCAACGACAGTTTATATTGTCAATTTTAACTGTTTTTATTTCCATGAGTAATTAATGCCATAACGTTTTGACATCCATGTATTGCGTGTATCGGATACTCAAGCTTGACCACGTGCCCCTTGACATATCCATGCTCACTTGGAATGTTTCGTAATAATCCATGTGGCCAAGACCAAGATTTGAGTGAAAAATGAATGCATAACTCAGCTGTCGCATTATAATTTTAATACTTACTTGAATTACCGAAAAAATCGTCTTAAAAAGTACTGAACACTTTACACTTACATTTGGATAATGCATTTTATTTCAAATAATATAATAAATCTACTTTGGCAGTCTAAATCATAATCAAAGTGACTCGAGAAAGAAGTAAAAAAACAAAAATGAACTATTGATATGTTTAGCTTGATTATTGAGGTATCAGTCGATCAGTTCGTTCAAGAAATGATCAATAATATATTCTCGACACAATGTTTATTTCGCAACAGTCCTATTCACAATGGAATTCAGGCGATCCTTTAGTAAGCCCAATGTGTCGAATCTTTAAAGTTGAAGTTTTTAACTTTTTTCCCCTTTCTTTTAAATATATATATAAACAAGATAGAAAAAGCGCAGTAATAAATTGCCAATAAAATTATGCGGACATTCTTCTTGTATTCACAATATATCACAAAACTACATTCACAGAAGATTTGAATCCTCTCGCACGAACTTCAAAAGTTTCAAACATGTAATTAAAAAGAAAGATACAAATATGTATATATGGCGAAAAACAAGCATGTGGTTTAATTTACCCTGGTTTATAAACCGAGTCTTTTGTAGAGTATTCTTATTCTCGTTCTTTTGATTTCATCACAACCGAGGCCGTCTTAGGGAGTGATGGCGTGACAGCAGACTTTTCTTTGGCTGAATTGGTAAGATCCAACTACTTGTGTGGATTCAAACCGATTGTCGGAATTGTCAAATTAAATTTGTGAGGTCCGACATTTCACAGTGCCATTTTGTTATCATGCGCATGTTCAGCAGCGGCCTTTTCCAAAGCGTTACAAAAATTCATATTTTTCGCTATATGTGAAAGTTTATGTTCTTTTTTCCACTTCATACGTCTATTTTGAAACCATATTTTTATCTGTCTCTCTGTAAGGTTAAGCGCATGCGCAATCTCAATTCTTCGTCTCCTTGTGAGGTACTTGTTGTAGTGAAATTCTTTCTCCAATTCAAGTGTCTGATGACGTGTATATGACGTCCTGGATCGTTTCGATTCCCCATCGTTTCCTTCTGCAAAACGGAAATTTATTGCATAAAATAAATATTGTTATTTCAAAACACAGCAGAATTTACAAAAGTTTTATTAAGCAGAGCTTATTTTGTACCCATTGTAAAGTAATAAGTACAAAGCATATGCAATGATTACTCTTAATTTGATATATACTCTTATTATGTAATGCCAACTAAATGTACAAACATTTAAAAGTACATGTATTCTTGTTTATAGTAATAGAAAATAGTAATAGGTAATAAATCGCCTTGAAATTATTCCCTTTATTGAATTTCAGTTTTGAGTCAAAGATCTAGTAAAAGAAAGATGCCTACATGTACATGTTTTTAAAATTTGAGAAATGAATTACTTTCATTCATAATAAGTATAGCTTGGTCAAATAAGGTGAATGAGGGCATAATTTTTAGGGTTTTAATTGATTATTTTTGAATAAAGAAGACCAGTTATAAATATGGGAGTTTCTTCAAACAGTATCATGTTCATGATCTTTTCTTTAAAATGATAGCAAATGTGGCATCCAAAAAGAAACAAACTAAACTCATTTACTAGATCTACATGTAAACTGAGTATCTAAAATGAATAACATATAGATCTACATGTAAACTGAGTATCTAAAATGAATAACATATAGATCTACACTCTATATGAAAAAAAAAACTCAGTGAGAAAATAAATGACAGCAACGCTGAGGTAAAGACAGACATGATAAAATCGCATTGTCAAATGAGCCCAAAAATGGAATATTTTTAATAAAGTGTCAACATGTTAAAAACTTTTAAGTGATATATATTTTTTGGTTTTGGCAGCTTATATAAAATGTGTTTGTGTGACAATATGTGTCAAGCAAATGAAACATGTGACAGCTCATTAGGAATGTAACGTATGTGGTCCATAACTATTCCACTGACTCTTACGTTTAAGTAACCATCGCTTCTTTGGGATAATTCCCCATATACATTTGTGTAGATACGTGTAAACTCGTGTGTTTGAATTACATAGTATACTAAACACAACGATTTAGGAAAGCGAAGTGACCAGAAACTCTTTGCTTTTTTCTCAAAGTGCTGGATGTTTCTTGCCTTGATGCACATCTGGACGAGCAAGATAGACATGTGACACTGGAATATTAAAAACAAGGGCCTTTGTGGTCATTTTTTTGCCTGGCCCCGGACACCTGTGTCCATTCTGGACAGCAGTTGTTCACCAGAGGTCGGTACTGGGTTCTGTCTGGACAATTCAGGTCTCTGTCAAGCAACACCAAGTCTGACTGGTATAGCCATAGTTAAGAGGACGGAGACGTATTTTGACGCCTTTCATGATGGGCCGTCAAAATTAGCATGAATACATAATATGCTTTTATGTTTATACCAACCATAAATACATAAATTGTTAAGCAGTTTAGCATATTCCTACAAAAGAAGATCAGTAGGAGTTCTATGCAAACGTCAAACATAACACAAGTTAGGAAGATGTGTCTGGTTTACGGGGATGTCAAAGGAACCGTTAAACTGTAAGAAGTCGCCATAAACTAACCGATGTTTTCATTATGTCTGGTGATCCGTAAGATCCCTACAGGACATGACAAATCTTTTTTTCTTACGGAACAAGGCTCCCCTGAACTAGCACAGGGATCTATCCTCCTACTGCAATAAGCAGATTATGCAAACAAATGCCCCGGTTATAAAAATTAAGCGGATATTTTATAAGTCAATAAAAAGTTTAAGTACAATGGCATCTGCTTCGTTTACCCTGTCAATTCATAGTTCATAGGTCAAAGCTCAAAAAGAGCATCTTTTACTCTCGAGAATCGTGTACCACTGCGTCCTACACTTTGCCAAACCTGTTCAACGATAAACATTTTTAAAACATCACAGTGTTTAATGTGCATAAAAGTTATTTTATCCATTTAAAATTTGACAGTTAAGTCGCCTATCATGTTAGCAAATTTGAATATATTTTTAATAATTGATTGAAAAGCGCGAAGTCTCGTGCTTCCCAAATCAGATATCTCTGCCACAAAGAGGGGTATGTGTTTATTTTGAGTGTTAACAACATTTTTTATTTAAAAAGGGAAACGTAGCTTACAAAAATGGTACTGACGGTATCACGAATCCTTTCATATCGACTAAAAATGTGTAAGAAATTTTAATGTATGAATATGTTATTATTTAAATGTCTGAAACGTTTCACTCATAGGGTTTGAAAATCAAGATTGTCTGGAAACGTTTCAGTCATATGGTCGGAAATTCAAAATCAGATACGACATATGTCATATATTTAACAAATATCGTACACTTATACAATAAAATTGACATCAAAAATAAATGTATGTTAAAAACTATGTTTCCTATAAAATAAAAAGTGTTTTAAAATAGATTAATTAAAGAAGTATTAAAGTTAGATTGATTCTTCGACCATCTTAAAATATTCAATAAATACTCTTCAAAAATAACCTGAAATGATTATTAAGGGCCATTATATTAAGGACATGACTATGTGTGTTATAACAAGCAGTGTATAAATCTTTATCACACACTTAGATCGACGGTGTCTGTTTATGGAATATTTATTTGTTATGGCTTATTTGGCACCTCACATTAAAGCATCTTAACAATAATGTTGTCACATCTCTCTAAGTCCCCCTGATTTATAGCCAACCTCCACCAACAATTCTCCTTAATGTGCATACGGCTCAAATTGCGCCTTCTCTAAATTTGAAACTATGTAAAGAGGTTATTGATTTTAAGATTTCAAACCCTTTTTCCTTGTAAGGTTGAAGACACTGTGATATTTTTAATTGTCTGTCTACTTCCGATTTTACTACCTCTGCTATTGTCAACATGTTTTATTATTCCTGATGTGTGATGTCCTTTAAACGATAACTTAAAGGGAGAATTCTAGTAGACATATAATGATATTTTTGTTAATCGGTTAATAAAACAAAAATTACAAAAATAAAGAAAGGCTGCTGAATCTAAATGGGCCAAATTGATTATAATATATTCAGCCTCCCCACACCGTAGCAAACCACACTCATCAAATCGTGTCAGAAAAGAATATTAATTGACAGTCTTAATTAACTCGTAAAAGCATCTAATGAAAATTTACTTAGTTCAAACATTCAAACAAACGAAAAGGCAATTTCAAAACTCAATTAAGACTTTGATTTTTTAAGGTAACAAAATAGAGAAAGGACACATTATTTTTTTAATAACTGCAAAGACCATTATCATGAAACTTTATTGTATATTTCATTTAAACAAGCCTTATACGCATGAACAATTTTTTTTCTTTATTTGTAGAAAAAAAATTGTGTTTGCACAAAATATATCTATGACCACGATTTCGGCGTAAACGTTTTTCACTGTTTGTGTAATTATTAATAATGTCTGCCAGTTCAGCTCCATCGCCGTTTGACTGCGCGGGGCAAACACCTGTAAGTTTCCACCAGCAGTAAATCTTAGTCAAAACGTCATTTTTTCTGGTCAAAAGCAAACTACTTTAGGTATTTGGCAAGTTAGCGATCACGAAGGTTGCCCTAATTATTTAGCACATTTACTATACATGTATACGCTGTTTAACTATTAATTATGGGAAAAGTTAATGCCTTCGTATAAATTAACCCTTTTCATTATTTTACATACAGTCGATAATCTGTTAAAGTATAGAACCTTCTTTAGTTATTCTTAAGTGGTTATTTGTATTTTCATTAATACATGCGAGGTTGTAGTAGTACAGGTATCTATGGATTCTTTTCCGAATTCAATCTACTGTCAGATGAGGATTAAAAGTTAAAAAAAAAAAACTTAAATGGACCTAACCTAGGAATGTTGTGTTCATGTACAGCAGAGATAAAGCTGTGTTTGTGTGATACTAGAGAGGTTCTCCCTGGGTGGACGAGATAACACCGTAAAGTCTGTAATTCTATAACGTTGAATGCTGATCCCTATTTTCTGTTGGTGCAAGGGTTACATTAGATGTTCTGATTAGTTGTTTTTGGCGACTTCTAAATACTAGTGTTGAGTCAGGGAAAAAATCAAAATTGACTGTCCCAATACAATTTACTTTGGGGAGTCTGTTGGACATTTGACACTGCTCTTAATCTGTGGAATAATTTGATTCACTTTTCGTTCCGAGTTTCTTTTCATATGCGGAATTGAGTCACAGTACTCTCGTTCAACAAGAGACGGGTTTTGTTTCTGTGCAGGACCACGGAAGATTTATGTTTGTGTTTAATAGGAAAATAATGATCATTGCAATCAAATATTTTTATATTAAAGAAATTAAAAATTCTTAAAGTGTATAGATGAACGTTAAAGTTCCCCTGATAACACGCGTGGGGTTCTTAAGAAACTTGACCCTGGCTTTCTGACCCTTTCTTGTCGAGTCCAGAATACCTGGTATTCAAAAGTGGCTTTACAGACTTTGGTTTTGAACATGATTGTATAGAGAGTCGGTGTCTACTTATGCATGTAATGTTGTATACAATTAATTGTTTTCCTATGTAATTCTGTACGGGGAAATGTGATCCACTCTGATCAACGGTTTAATAATACGAGCCTGCAGATCTCACCTTGTCCAAGACCATTTATCATAAAGAACCTGCCCAAGATTTATGCACTAATTTGATATAATACGAGGGAGTCATTTTTACCGTAAATTGCTGTAATCGGCAATTTTATAGTCTCCAGTTTAGTTTTTAGTCAAAATACAGATCACAGGGGTTTTGTGTTTAGATTTTTAGATAGACGGCCCTCCTAATATCAATTTCAATTGTAGACAGGTAATTATTATCTATTTCATTTGTGTGGCCTTCTTTTCTCTATATGGTGGCCAAATCTGCACAAAACTATATCACAATTCCTATACAGAGAGAGAAATTAGCAAATATTGCATAAAGAACTATGTAAAAAGGAAGACGACGCGTAATTAATGCCTTTTGTGCCTTTAATTAAGCCCTTAAAAGTCTTTCAAGACATATTGTAATACAGTGATTCATGACGATAAGTTCTGAGCAGATCGAGTTCTTTGATCTCTAAGAAGAAATCAGATTGTATGTTTCCATTATCTGCTGACTTAAAAAGCAGCCGCGGGTAGCTGAAATTTTTCATACTTTGGATTATACTGTACAGCGCCCAACGACTATCTTCAAAGTAGACTCAGTAGCTTACAATGGGAAAAAAGTATCAACTCTTTTACAAATACCTTGTGCGCACGTAATTTGGAAAAACATAAATGACACAATGATGAAATAGCCTGGATTAAAAACGACAAACTAACGTTCATGATGGAATATATTTTGCGATAAATGGCCCATAACTGTCCAGGATTATCTCCCTTTGAGATGGATCCTTAGCGGCATGCACTAATTTTACCACATAATGAATTTCACAGAATATAAAAGTAAATGGATAATTAATAAGAATATTCCTGTTCTAGATTTTATAAAGAAAGATCTTTTTTATCCATAATTTTTCCTCTACAAATATAAATAATAATGCATCTAATACATGAACTACGTAATCCTTTTTTTAAAAGAATTAATATTTTTTTAACAATACTTCAATGTACACTGTTTAAATGAAATAACTTGAAGGTATGTTCCACGGTATTTGATAAATAATGCACGAAAATGTTTCAGAAAAAAACCCACCCCACTCCTACCCCAGGTTTATGGAAAAGTAAAAAATGAAAACGAAGATGAACATTCCGAATACCATGTCCGCTTCCTTGAAATTAAATAATTATTTTGTTAGCTTTTCTCCTTTTTGTTCTTTTTTTCCCCTCAAAATAATCCATATTTTGTCACAGATATTACAATGCATTGAGTATAACTATCATGTTGAGATTTGATACTTTGAATTGCAAACACATCATTATGTCATACATTTACAATTGGTGCAAATTATTTTCGCATTGAATTAAAATATTTTTACATTGAAAATAAAATAATCATGTTTGTTTAGTGTACATATTTGTTCATCTATAATTACGTAAATATTTGCTGTCAATAAAAAAAAGGTATTTTTAATGAAAAAATATATTCCTTATTATTTAAGTCACATCTTAAATTTTCCAATGTTTCCAAATTCATTAATTAGGCTTCCTTGTAAATATTTATTCGTATTAGAGATCGAGGGGGGGTTCCCCTAAACACAAAATTTTATTATTTCTCTCTAGTCTTTTGTTTAATTTTTATTTTTTTTTTTTAAGTTTGATATTTTTTTTATTACTGAAAGACAAAGAAGGATTCTAATTTAAGAAAGCTGAATCAAATTTCTTTGTTAATTATATTTTACACACTATTTTACATACATTTACTGAGTAATGTTGAAATTTACCGCTGTTGGCTTAGTATTTTGTTCCTGAATCTCGTAAATATGAGTTGCAGCAGAATCATATTGCAGGATCTTTTTTCTCCAGTAAAATTTATGGGTCGTGAAGATAGCCAAGAGAAAACTGCCAGATTTACGGCATACACAAAATATAAATCACAAAGTGAAACAGAAAATATGGCTGCACATCCAGTCGATCTCCTCTTGGATCAGTGTTTTAAGTTAACTCTCATGTTACAGATGTCAGACCATAAATAAGAATTAAAACTTTACTTCTTATATCGGAATTTCTTCAGGTTCCTCTTTTCACATGGTCATCTCCGAATGTGAAAAGCCTAAGGTCTAGAGAACGGCGCCTTCTGTACAATAAATCTTATTAAACCGAGAGAGTACCCGCAGCCCTAACAAGCAGGGAAGATTTTTTATTAGTCAACTTAACCGATTTTTTATGAGAGGAAAACAGAAGCTGTATCTATTTTTTACACCATAACAAATTTGTTTAGAATGCAGGATGTGTTTTGTGGTCACATGCATCTGATTTCTTAGCAGTTAATAAATATGGAATAGTTCTCACTCAGATTTATCACGGTTACATTTACTCTGTCATAAGTAGCAATATATTAAACATTCTTACATCAAATCACCAAATTTATCAGAGAAGCGGAAGGAAATGCTATTGATATATTGCGTTGAAACTCAAATTTTCTAATCTAAATGACATGCATTTCTTCATATATATATTTTTAAAATTCTGATTTATAAACAAAGATCTCGATAATCCCAGCATGTTAAACAACACATTTGCCTTCCAACGAAAGCTCTTCAGGAAAAAAAATGTATTGGAGAATCTATTTTATGTGGTGTTCCCCGGGAATAACAGTCATTCGTGCAATTAAAGATACATAAAAATGAAATATGGCGCGTTTTCCTAAGTGATGTAGAGCCTAGCTTCTCGGAGTGTAACAGTATGAAATGTACAATTGTATTCACAAGTGTTCACCCAGAAATGAGTCAAATGACCGATTAAATACATCAGAAAAGAACATTTTTACTTTATTTTATTTCCCCCAAAACTTCAGATTTAATAAAAACTTAGATGCAATAATCGCCGACTGAATGAAACAATGCATGAATTAAATATGCAATGGAATAAATTAATTTTTTTTTTAGTTTTATTAATTTCGATTTTAGTATCATTTAGGTTCCTAAAGAAAAAGTAAATTGAGTTTCTGAGCTAAATTTAAATTATTCAAATGAAACAAGTTACTGCTTACTCTTTGAATTTAAAATGCTATAAATCAGCATTACAAGTAAACAATTTTAAACAAACAATTATATATTTCTTATAAGCTTTTTGTGTTTTTTTAAATGCGTTTTAAGTTTGTTTTTTTTTTTAAGAAAATGAAATAAATTCCAGACCGATTTTTTTAATATTAACTATTATAAATTTAGTACATAGTGCTGCAGCAATGTTTTAAAAATCCATGAGTTTCTGTCCTAGTTTAACATGAATTTTAATCTTCAGAATTGAATAATATTTAGTTTAGTGATTTTGAATTAGTCAACAATATATATAAATTTATAGGAATGATTATGCTGTAAATTATATTTGAAGAGTTTGGAAAAAACATTTTCCCACAGTATGAAATAATTGTATTGTTTCAAACTAACGTGATATTTTTGTTTTGTCAGTTTTCCCCCAGAGAAATAATATTTTTGTTTAATTTAACTTTTCTGCCGTTATGGGTTACTTGTCTCAAGAAGGTTAAAACATTACAGCATTGCCAATATTTACATGCAGTCTCCCCTTAAAATGTCTTGTAACATACAGGAGTATTCAAGTTTTAGATCAAGAGGATAACAAAATTGAACATTACAGACATGGGGTTAATTTTAGCTGTTATTTGCCTATGTTTTAAAGAATTAAACCATAACCCTCACAGAAAAGAAATCATTACTTTTTTCTGGTTTAATGTGAAAACAATATTATCACAAAGTACCGGTATGAAAAATTTATTTTAGCAGCATAAGTCCACTGTTTACATTTTAAAAGAAACAATATCAATAGGGAGAAGATGCATAAGCATAAAATTAGGAAAACACTAAGGAAAATAAAACCAAGAATAAACTAACCTTGCGTGTACTGCATTCTCCTCATCCAGGGATAAATCTGCGGGCTGTTATACTGCTGGTCCGAGTGAGACCGAGGAGAGGTGGGGGAAGTTGGCCCAGAGCCCTGACCTGGGGGCTGCTGGGAAGAGGGTGAGGTTGAGGGGGGTTGTTGAGAGGGTGAGGAGCGACTCCTCTCTCCAATGTGTCCATTGTGATAGTATGAATTGTTACTGGAGCCAGTCCGGATATTACACGAGGGTCGTTCGTGCATCGGGTGCACATTTTGTAAATTAGGCGTCCCCGTGTTAAGGCTGTGTGGGGAGCCACATGGGCTTGATGGGGGTAAATGACTGAGCCTGGGACCTCCATAATAATCGTTATCGTCCAGTCGTTCCTCTTTTGATGGATATGGGTATCTTGCACTAGGAAATCCAGGATAGAAAGCACCCGTGTGTTGGTAATTTCCATTTCTATGAAAACTTCCATCTGAACAATCGATTCCCATAGTTTGACCGTAACATGCTGATAGAGAATTTACAAAATAAGAACTCATTTGGCCTGGATAATTTGAGATCGTAAAAATGTCGTTGACGTCAGTTATAGCCGCCCTGACGATGAAATATGGTGATGCAGAACAGAGGAAACTTGGTACTCGGCGACTGCACTCTCCACTGAAACGAAGCCATGATGGTCACGTGAGTAGAAAATCCAATCGTAAGTGTGATAAATGTCATGAAAAGTTGAAAGTTATTTTCAAATACCTTTAAATGTAAACAAACTTATGTCTAGCAATGATGCGCGAAGTTCGAAAAATAAAGTCTACAATATCTTATTTGTGAAAAATATCGGCTTTCACGTGCAATATATAATCACTCTTAAAAAGCTATGCATCCGGTTGCTCTTGTACTATGGTTTGAAAAATTTTTCCAGAGCCGGGGTTATTAATCATGAACCACGTGGGTATTGTAAAATTAACTTAAATGGCCCAATGAATTGGAAGTTATCGTTTCATCTAGACTTTGTTTGAAGTTGTCATTTATCGTCCACCGACGTTAACACGTTGAAAAATATAAGTAGATATTTAATATTTAGACCTTATTTTCATATTTGCTTGTGAAAGAAGAATATTCGTGTAAAAATCTCAAGTCCCCGCCCACATCTTAAAAATGATGTGTTATGCACTTAGTAGTTTGATGTTTTGCAGATTGAAATTTTTGACTGAAGTTATGTGAATTAAATCCAATAGTACAGTTATTCATAAAATAAATCCTACAAAAGATATTTTAATAATTACAGATTGTTCCTTAATGAGTATAGAGATAAGTCATTAGTGAACTCTTATTAAGGCCTGATAGAACAGAGTAATCCAATCGAATGGACACGTAAGAAGATAACATGTATAACGTATTTAGACTTACCACAAAATCAAAGAAGAAGAAAAACTTTTTCAGGAACTGATTCCAACCCGTAAACACACATGTCTCAGGACAACAGCAAAATTCAAAGTCCTATGGTGGACCATTTAGATACACAGACACTAAAAAAACGTAAAAAAGTGTATATTATATCCACATCATAGCCTCATTACTCATGTCGGGCGGAGTTAGCTTATTCTTTCATAGCACGTATATTTGTTTTCGTCCCTGTTGTTTGAACACCGTTTTATCTTATGTACAAATGTGCGAAAAAATATTATACGAGTTGTAGAAAAATCGTACAGCTCGTTCCTTAAATCATAACTGACGAGAGAGACCGTTAGTTTTTGCGGAGGCCAGTTATTTATTCAATGACCTGAAGTCAGGTAGTGACGCGTAATGAAGCATGGAGCATCGTATGTAACGTATCAGAAGCAAAAGTTCTGCACGACAACCCCCAACGCAGGTCTCTGTATGAATAATTTATTAAAAGATGGGGAAAACTAGAACTCCAATATATTTAAATATTATTTGTTATCAAACACAGTGAATAATTAATTTTGTTTTTCAAAACATTTTAGTGAGCGTCATGCTTTTCCAATAATCAAAATAATATGTTATCTTCGGTGCACTTGATGCTTTGTCTTACTTTTTGCTTCCGTTGTTTTAAGTGAAATGATTTATTAAATGTTATGCATATGAGAGAAGCAAATCGATCGACAAAATTTTAAATGAGATATAATAAATGAGAAAATAAATTACCTTTTGAGTTTTATGACCTTGGTATTCATTATAAACGATTTTTCGATTAATGTAATTTCGGGAACATAACTGGTTTTTGTACATGTAGGTCAAATAATTAGCAAAATTTAGGTTAAGAAATTCTCAGTGTTACCTTGAAATTTACAAAAGCAACAATTATTTTTTTTAAGTTTTTAGAACTAAGATTCAAACTTCACTGTACGAATCATATAGCCTTACGTGATAATAATTTCGAATTATCTGCTAAATTTTAATATTTTTAAATATTCCTTGTATTGTTAATTTTTAAAGCCAAAAATTCATTTAAAATTGTTGTAGAATTTTTGATTTCGTACTTGTAAACTTTCAAACCACTGGAATTCTATTAAATCACACAACTCTCGACACCATGTACCATGATCAGACACATTTTGTAATTGTAGCACCTATAAATCTATTTCTAACAATACTCCGGATAATAAATACCCTAGTTAATAAATACCCTCGATTATAAAATATGTGATAGACCATGATCCCCGCCAATTCAACTGAATCACTTTAACGCGTTTGCAAGTGGGACATAATACGTAGAATGTCGGAAAACCCATTCCAGGATGTTTATGGCGTGATTTTTCTTCACTTAGAGAAAAAATGGATGTGTATTATGTTGGATACAGGACTGGGAAGGAGAAGGGAAGTTGATGTGCCATATTCATTGGCGCCTTTTTCTGGATTTTATTCAAAGGAAAAATTGTTTCAGAAAATCATTTACTGCCAACTTTCTTCCAATATATCTTGCTGCAATTCATTTAAATTTTCTATGTTTGTCTAGTCGTCGAGAGAATACATTTTTCATTCTGTACACAAATTAGAAACAGTTATTTTCTTCCAAAGAATAATGATTAAATCATGTTCCAACTTGGCCATTCCGCATCCAGCGGCCTGAATTTCAGTGATGAATGCTTTTTGCCAGATTTGTCGAATTTGGTTTGAAGAAATGTCCGCTTGAGTTTGAAAAATGGTTCCTAATAATACCTTCTTCTTTATTACTTTCTGGAATGAACAAATCTATTTTCTCATGCAGCAACTAAATTGTATTTCTCCCAGGAACAAGCCTTCCAGGAGGAACTTGTTAGTTTCTTAGACGGACAATGGTTTTCGTTATATGGTTGAAAATTAACATTTTCGCCACCGAAAAGACATTTATTTCCTTGGCAGTCAAGGTCCATGAAAAAACATTTAAGTTTTGTGGTCCAGGATTCTGTGTCCGTGCTGCCATTAGTTACCTAATTGTATAGCGTCCACCACGACTGATCATGTCGCTTCATTTACAAGAAATTCCCATTTAAGAGAAGCTTAATCAATAATTCAATTACACGTTCACAGTATCTTTCCTTATTTCAAATGGAAAAAGTATATTTCCAAAATTTTTTTTAGTTTTACGATATTTTCAGCACTTACTGAAAATAAATCTTTGGGGTTTTTTTTCTATATATATTTTTTCTTTTAAGCTCTGTTTCTTTAAGTTTTGCTTGTAACATCATCAGAAAAGTACTGCAGTCTCAAAATTGCTTTTAAAATAGGATGCAAAGTGAAAGAACGTCCAGATCACCGATTTCTTTAAAAAGTTTTTTTTTTTTTTTTTACGTAGTATATTTATAATTTACTTGTACAGTACTTTTTTTTATATAAATAATGCGTTTAAATAAACAATTATACCTCATATGTAACATAACAAATTTTTTTTCTTTAAAACATGCGATTTTTGTCCCTTTTTTTCTCACTCTATCTTACCAAAGTCAAAAAAATCTGAATCCTCATTTATGCATTTTTATTCATACCTTTTTTCCCCTTCTACTTTTTGATAGCAGGACTGCATGTAAAAAAAATAAATCTCAGAGACTATTGCTAAACTTAAGCAAAATTAAAATGAAATTATTCTTAAAAATATTTTTTTAATACATAATATACTGAAACCAACTTTATATATATATATATATATATATATATATATATATATATATATATATATATATATATATATATATATATATATATCTTTTCATATTCTTTTTTATATTTTCCGATTATTGACATTTTATATCAATTATATATGTATAATTTAAAATTTATTCTTAAAAAACTATGATTAAAATTATGAACCCAAATGAATTAGCTTCCACTGCAACATAAATTTGTTTATGAAATTACCTCCTATACGGACATGAACTTGGTGAACACTAGTAAATACACTTTCCAATATTCAAAATGTTCAAAGCAAAGTCTCCGTATCTAATGCAATTTAAAAAGGTATGTGGAAATTATAACTTTACGTGTTGGGATTTCGCAAAAGACTGGCTTGGTCATGTATTTGTCGTCAATTTCAGCAGAAGAAAATTTAAATGACCACAGCGTACATTGCATTATACTTGTTAAAGAAATGCGAGGATGTCAGAGTTCAATGTCTAAAAGTAAACCATATCCCCATGCACACATAAGGAACACGCAAGAAATTCCTGAAAATCAGTGTCAACAATTCATTGAAAATCCAAGTTTTATCCTTGTAACTTTAACATGTTATTACTGAAGAAACTCTGGGTGCAATACCATTTTCTCATCAATATGGAATTTGTTTGGCCTGTTTAAATTAGGAGTAGTTTAATAATTTCCTTCTAAAGGAAAACAGAATGCATGCATCGGTATAACATCCATACTTCAACTAATTTTTTTGTTTTTAAATACCAATCAGAAACTGTGGATCTTATAAAATATTGATACACTTTTAAAGGTTAAACAATATATCATGCAGTAATTAGCTGACTTAGCCATAAGCACTTACTGTAATTATGCCGAGAGCAAACTCCACATATCGCCCATTCAAAAAACATGAATCTTGAACACTAACCTGCCCCTTATGTCATCTATTAACACACTTCTCAACTAGCTATGGGTGGGGTTTGTAGAACGTGCAGGATCATATTATTTACGGCGTGAACTCAGAAGTTCTTGTCTTTCATATAATTTCACGTCTGGTAGAATTCGTGGATGGACATTTCCCATCTATTTTAGAGAAACAGGGATGTAGCAGTGGATCCGAAATTCAAAGGAATGGGTGATGTATACAAAACCGCTCAACCCGAGGAACGAATTCCCAAGAGTTTTACCCTTGGATTATTTAATTACCGTTAAATCAGGACTGACACAAACAGATCGGGACCAAACTGTTCTATCACTGACATTATTGCTAACACAAACGGCACTTTTCTTCATTTAGAACAAAACCTTCACAGTTCCTTAGCCCGTGTACATGTAGACGTTTGGTGTTTCCATGGTGGCTGAACCGTGAGACGACTGATTCAACCATCGAGTAGATATTCCTTTTTCTCAATGAAACGAAAACATGGAAAAATTGGATGAGATTATCATCAGTCCATCTAATTATTTATACATTCGAAAATGATTTAAATGCATACAGCGATATAGTAAGTGAAGATCCCCAATCCGGTCTCGGGGGTTCGAAAGTAACATATTTTATGGCAGCGTGATCCTAATGCGCCATTATTTTAGTTTATGGCCATTATTTGCCCCTAAAACTCACATTACATTTTATTTGCTCGTCATCATTTATTTATAGCCGACAAACTGTTATCTTAATAAAGCCTATAGTGGCGTGCCCCTGTATGGATATCCTTTTGTTGTTCTAGTTGTCAACTAAACCCCGTTCACCCGAGATTGACATAAATTTGAACAGCTATAAACACTAAGTCCGATATTCTGATTATTAAAGACATCTTTCTCATGTTCAGTTTTTGTTTTTTCAGTGGTACACATGTATATGTATACCGGAATGAAAGGATATGTTTTACTTTCTCATTCTATGATCATAGGAAATTATATTTGTGGTAAATCTGTTCAATCACTTATTTGTTTCATCTTATTTAAGTCAGCAGGCCTATCAGATAATAGAACAAATAATTTATGTATTATTTGTGAAACGAAATTTTAGAATATATTTCAATTGCTTCAACATTCTTTCGAAGGATTCACACATCAGTCACTTGTAAATTTTTCTAGATTGATTTTTAAGCTTCTGAGCACAGCAAATTTATATGGTTAAATACAACAGTTTTTACTTAACAAAAAACAGAAAAGAAAATTGCAAAAATTGATATTTTGTTTCGCAAATGACACTTATTTTTTTATGCGATTTTCTTTGTTTGTATTCTATGTGTGTTACAAAATTTTGTTATATTTATTTGTTACATAATGTTTTAATTTCTTGTGTATATCAATTTATACATAAAACAGATACTTTTTGCATTATTTTTTAGAGGTACAATATTCACCAGATTCTCAATAGCAAAATAAATAAATAAAAATAATATATACTTGTATATTAAAAAATTATATACATTGTGTATGATTTAAATCATTTTTTAAATATTCTACAGTGACCATTAAAAAAGAGAATAAAAAATACCAAAATAAATAAATAGATTTAAAAAATTAATAAATATAAAAAAAAATATAATTCTTTTAATGTTTTGGCATTAACAAATATCTGTATTTTTTATCGGATGGTTTGATTGCTGCATGAAAACCATATTGCCAACAGAGAGATTATAGCCCTCATACCGTTTAAATATATGCTACCGTTTTGCAGAAAGAAGTAAAAACAGGCGGGCTAGTGTATTCCAAGTGTTATGTTAACACTTAAATTCCCATCAAAGGCCTGGGTAAGAAATACAGGAAAGCACATCAGTGGGGATTCCAATAACACGCGAAGTTTGCAAATTTTACGCAAACATTTCAATAAACGCACAAGTGTGGAGCTTACCAAAATGATATATTACTTAAATATTTTTAAGCTATTTCCATATCTTTACAAGCTGTTGACTGCTACCATTAACTTTGATCGATAATTGGTCGTCGAATCTTCTGAAATATTGGGGAAGAAAGGATCGTGAAAATGTTTTTCGACGATAATCTCCTCTTCCTATTGTGCAATTGTCACCGTAGATAAACCTCGCACATGTATAGGGGCATATTTGAAACAAAGTTTTTAATTTACTACCTGGAAATGTAACACCGCAGGTTTAAACCGTTTGAATTTAGTGATGAAAGACCCTCAAAGACTATAAACCATATAAGACCTGCCCTCCGTGACAGGGTCAAACTCAATAGCTTTCCAACTATTGCTTGGTCAAGCCGGGGCACAGTAGATAGTTTTCAGAACACGTCTCAGGGTTCACAGTTTCACGCTTCCAAAGTCCCCCCTCATTATACTATCAAGACACTTCTATAATTGCCAAACTTCAAAGGTCTGAATCTTATTATTCTCTTAATTTAGCCATTTGTGACTGTTGTCCTCAATATGTCAATTTTAAAATGACTCGTCTGATAAGCAATAGGTAATCAAATCTTAATATATCATAACTACAAGAAAATGGGAGACGGTTTGTATTTCAATGAAATGAAATAGCCGTACAGAATCTGATCGGGTCAATTATGGCTTAAATAATAAACAAAAATTACAGGATATCACCATCTAAGCACTTCAAATCTGAGTCCAATTTGACCATTACCAAACTAAATTCTTGTCATTAGACTCAAAGTTAAACTAGATGTCCTTGTGGATATTGATACCAACTACGAATACATGTACGGCTTAGAAGACAAATTATTAATCACGATATTGGCTTAGCTAAGAGAAGAGCAAGAAAGTTGAAAAAAAATTGACTGTTCTTCAAGACATTAAAATGCTCGTTAGACATCTTGCAAATTGCAAAAGAAAATAACAGTCGTTCATATATTTTGTTTAAGAAAGACACGTACTCATTTTTAACATTTTGTAGAATTGTTCGTCTAGCTTACAAAAATTAAAGGTTATTGATACGCATGTAATAGACTTGAAATTTTCAAAACACACACACAAAATCCTAACCTAAACAACTCCTTGATTTGAACACAAATATCTCTACAAATAAATGTATATAACATAATATTCAAGTTCCTCCACATGAAATACCATTTTACTTTTTTCTTGATATACAACGAATAAATACTTTCAATATCCAACAAACGCTTGTTTTCGGAAATTGTTATCCATGTTCACCTTTAGATTTCATTCTTCAAAGAAAAATGTACAATCAACCACCCTCACAGTAATCAGATGCCGGTATAGGCCGCGGAAGATGTGGTTAACCATTCTTGTATAGTTGGTAACTTCAAAAACTTTTCATATTTTAGTCAACAAAAAGCAAGTGATCGATAGACAGCGATAAGTCATCAATTTCTGACGCGAGTTATTCTCGGTGCTGAAAGATGAAGCATATAACATTTCCAAAACAGGAAAAGCTAATTTTTTTCCATTTTGTATATTTTATTCTCAATAAAGCTTGCTTGGAAATCAATGTTTCTTCTATCTAAGAATGTAAAGAAAATTATGATAAGGAAGTGATGTCTGCAAATTATGAAATTAATTTGTAATAGCGAGTCGTATTGTAGAGATAAGTACCCTTGAAAACAAAAATGCTATCAAGATTCAGGAAATTTTTACAAAGAGGGGCTCATAAGGAATATACCTTTCATAATTCTAAGACTCTCTTTTGACTCCATACATAAATTTATATTATGAAAAAATAAAGGAAAAACTAAACAGTCCTATCAAACATTTTAACACTTACATGAAATGAAAATGATCAAGTCGTCTCTTATCTTACCAAAAACAACAAAAATCAACAAAAACAAAAACAAAAAACACGAAAATATATTTGCCCTTTAGCTAAAGAAGCATTTAGGGGAGTTGGATGTTTATTAAATATAATATATATCACGGAACATACAAACGAATATTTGAGAAACTGATATGCTGAATTAGTGATATGAAACTTAATAGGCCAAAATGAGCAATACAATAATGAATATACAAATTTGGAACAATGAGCATATAATTTAAATTTTATTTTAATTAAGTTTGATATGTCTTCTGAAGACAGGCTTGAACTAATTCCTCGTCCTATTCGAACACCTTATAGACTCGTACCACGTGATAACGGATAATACATGTATAAAACAATTATTTTATTGCTATCTCCGTACCGCGGAAAATGTTTACTTGTATAAAGTGCAGATTGAATGTAACACACACACACACACATATTTTAAATACAGTTTTTTCCCCTTTTCTTGATTTTAAATTAACTTTAAGAATGTTGCTTTTCCAGATTTTTTCCACAAAAAAATAGTTTTATATCCAAATCCTGAGGCATTTTCTTTTTTATTTATCGGATGTTTTGTTCCCACTGACGGAACACTCAGGTTTATCTAAAATGGTTTCCCCAAATCTAAGCCCTGACAAACTCCATGTATCTATGTGACAGACGGTAGCCTCCGCAGGATTTCCAGAACAGTCTGAGTTTATTTTTTGGAAGAGGAAATCGTGCAAATATTTCAAGACTCTTAGAATGCTAACGAGAGTACGGACAATTAGTAGTCCGTCAGCTGCGAACAATATTTCAAATTAGGGAGTGAAGTATCGGCATGGTGGAACTGTAAAAAAATGAAATATATACTGAAGCATCTGTGGTCTAGTTCCGTTTCTTGGTGTCTGTCATTAGTTATTGCGCGGTAAATGTTTTTAGATGTATGTTTTTCTGTTTTAAATCTTGTGTATAACTGACGAAGACGTGTACATTCCAGGTAGTTGTGAAATAGTTTATTTTATAAATTGTCATGAACAGTTCTCGTGCAGTCAATTGGCTTAATTCCAAGGACACTTTGAAATTATTTAGTCGTGGAAACAAACAAAATTGAAAATGAGTGATGTCTGCATTTTATTTATTTTTGGCATTTGCTTTTTCCCTTCTTATCAGACGGGTTAAGTCTCCTGGCCTATTAACGCATTAAATGGGCTATAAATGTGAAATTTATTTTAAGAGTTTGATGAATGGTTTTCCCCTAAAATGCAAATCTAACAATTAATTTCTTGCTTTGCAATTAAAATATTTAAGAGAAGTTAAATTCGGTACAAATGAATAACCTTAGTAAAAGCCTTCTAAAATAAGATAATAAAAGACAACAGAGATTTGAAACATATGATTAATACTGAATTCTTATAAACTCAGTTGATCTTCTTTCAAGCATATCAGTTATCAATTGCTGTATTCAGTCCGATTTAGTCTAAGAAGTCAATGAAAGTTTTTGCCA